TGTCTGTACCAAGTGAAATTACACAATATTTTCATTAAAACTTTATTTATCAACAGCGCATTTATAAATGCTTCGGTTTCGACGCGAAATTAACAAAGTGGATGGTTAAAATATTAATTACCTACCAATAACGTATAGAAGCTCTGATTTAAAGAACTAATTTAGTTTATCAAAATAAATACATTAATTTTGAGGTACGCTATATTTGTTTACACGGGTAAGACAAATGAACCACATATTTTATAATAATTGTACCTAAGACCTATAGTTTTATTATATTTAGTTCCAAAGACCAGAAAAACCTATTAGTCATCGTGTACGAATTTAAAGCCGTAATGTTAATTTAAATTTTTTGTTTAAATCATGAGATCAGAGTTTCCGTATTCGACGAATATAAAACAATGTAATATCACAAAGGAAATTGATTAAAGAACGTCAAAAGTAATCTAGGCATTTAGTCAAGATAATATAATTAAATACTTTTAATTAATAGTTATGTTATCTAGTCATAATTTTAATATATATTTAAATGTACTATTAGTTTCACTTATTTTTCAAACTTTGGCTTACATTGGTTTATAAAACAGTAGATAGGTATCCATTTACATAATTTTATTGCATTTCTGTATATTAAAATTTTTAACGTTGGTGAAATTGATATAATTTATACCGAGAACGGAAATCTTTGTAGGCTCGAATTTTGATTTCCGACCCCCCCGTCGCCTTTCCTTCACCTCAGGCCATAACGTTTACTTATTACAACAAACAAGGTAGATATTTTTCTTAAATTAATTCTATTTTAATTTGGTTATTATATGTTTATTGTAGACCTTATATGTGGTATATGATTAATAATACGTGGTAGTACATTATCTCATTAAAATATTTGTTAATTATGAACTAATAATCTTTGACCTACGCATTAAAACCGGATGCATGTAATGTGTAGTTGTTTTATATAAATAAATTGTTAACCTTTAAAATACAAATTACAAGGTGTATACAAGCTAATGTCAATGAATTTTTTTGGAGAAATAATTAAATACTATATTTTTTTACTGTTATGTATATTGTTATTGAAATAGGATCATTTCCGTTGGAACTCGCAAACTCAATAAAGTTAATAATAATAATGCTGTAATAAACCGTTTTCCGTATTAACAGACATTTCATAACATACTTCATAAAACTATTATTGACCTTGCCTGGGTATTTTTTAATTTAAATGTCTTTTATGTTGTACTACAAGTTTTATAAGTTTATCACATTTATGTTATAGTAACTAGTAACTATTAATACTCTAGAATTTGTTTTATATCTAGTATAATATCAAGTGCACTGTCGTTTACCACTATACTTTTTAAGAGTGGAATATTACATTCGATCTTTTTACTCGTCTCCGGTATAAGCTAATAAAGGTGTGGAGAAAACTTTGATGTTTTGACAGTTTACTCTGGTCACCTAACAAAATTAGTATAATATTTGGTATAGATTACAAAAAATCCATTGAATAATGAAATAGTACCAAACTAGACTCTCGGCGTCACATTGCATCCAGTCGGATACACACACACACACATGTGTATTGTTTTATGAATATTAAATATATTGCAACAAACTTCGATAAAAACTGTAAAGTGATTGTTTCTAGCATAATCCAACCTCTTACCTTTTGTATTTCGTCACCAATCGATAAAGGGAAATACATACACGGAACCGGGAACACTAGTTTTATGACAACAAGCCCTAGCCTAACGGAGGGAACCGCCACGCTTCCTTTTAATACAATATCACCATAATTCGTGACGATCGTTCGTGGTCCAAGCCTTAGAGTGGTTTCTAAACGCCAAATCCATCCGGGTCGGTATTAAGCTAAAAGGTTATGATACACACGACAAACGTGTTTTTTATAGGCTAATCGATACCATTGTGTCAACCCACCACTAACTATTGATCAAGCGATATACGCTCGATGCAGTGTTATTAAACCGACAAATAGCGCCCATAAAACACCGGTCTACAATGAAACACTATCTACTAGCGGTGTTTGCAGCTTTATGGTGCATCAGATATTGTGTAGACCTCATATTTATGTGTTTACTACATATTTTTATGTAGATCTTTGATTACGGTCCCCGTGAGAACGACCGCTGGCAAGTAAAACGTGATCCTATTGGGTCACATTTGTTTATAGTGTTATTATTTCTAAGTGACTGTTTCAGGAAGCCATTCGCATTTTACAATTTGTTAGCTTTCTTAATGTTTTCGTGACACTACGTCAAGATACACATATTTTTATATTATTTTTTATGCTCGTTGTAACTCAAACTATGTTGCTCGAAAAATAAATGTATACTTAATTCATTAATATAACGTAGGTATACGACAGTATAGCGGGTAAAACGTTATAAATTATATCTTTGAAAAATCGAGTTATTGTCAGAAGAATTATGAGGTTAATCATATTTATTTTAAATCATAAAGGGGTTCTTACTTGTTAAATCGTCGTATAGGTGTGTAATATGTATGCACCGCACAAAGAACTGATTCGAGACCAATTTTTTTACCCTTATTTGTTCGTACGCGTCATTTTATTTTTCTTGAATAATAGATTTTTTACTAAACACATACATGTGTACACAACAGCTCACTATACTTATATTGCTCAAGTGCCCTGGCTTTGTGAGTGGAATATTACCCCAAGACCACACGCACGCATACAGATTTGAAAACCAACGGACGAGAGAAGAGAAACCAAAAAACGTACCGTTTGTTTTCTAATAGAGTTAGGGGAGACCGAACGAGGAAAACAAGTAGACTGGTTATGTAAATACACCCTGCGTTTATTTTTTAGTTTATACGTCGGTCATTATTGTTATTAATATAATTCAACCAACTCGATTACTTTCATGAAAGTATGGTGGTAATATTTTTCCACAGTTTAATTGGATAATAGTTATCAGAAGAAATGATAGGGAAATACAGTAATTTTAACATTATGTATACATGTCACGAACTCTTAGACTATACCTTAGGTTGGTCGGTCGAACCGTTTCTTCAATCCAGTGATCATTTAGACGATTAAGTCACACAATACTATTATTTATTTGAAAAAGTTAAGGTCGATGGTTGTCTTAAAGGTGTGTTTTGAAATGGCTGTTTTAACACATTTCTTATCGTATAAATAACGTTTGAAAGCATAAGTTACATACATTATATTAAGTTACTGGCATAAGTTAGGTACCTATAACAAACAATAGACAGCATAAAACTCGAGCGCTACAACTGCTTTTGGCTAAAACCGTCCTGTGGATATTTATTACACATGTTCAAAAATTATAAAAACATTAAAATAATAAGTAATAACAGTAGTTAATTAATTTTCATAAAAATTAATTACTTATTGTTACTGTATTGTATAACTTATTGTTTTTATTGTGGACTTATTGTTATTATGTTCGCTTCGGTGAGAAGCTTGGAAGGTATTTTTTTTTAAATATTTTTTTATTTTGTGTCTAGACCCATAATATTACCTAAACCGCTGAACTTATTTTTCCATGTAGCACTGTATACCTCAGACATTTTAACTAAAAGGTAAAAAAAAAATACCCCTAGAAGGGGTAGAAACTTTTTTTTTTACTTCATTTTTACGAACGTAGTTTTGAGACTTAAGGTCTATCTACCCTTACACTAAAAATATAAATCTATATGAGTGTACGACGACTGTATCATCTAGATATTCATTTACATCGAATCATTTAATTGAAAGTGATTTTAACACAGTGTCAATAATAATTCCTAAAAATCTGTCATCTCTCCACCCCATCCAGAGCAATTCCTGTGTAAAGAATGCCAAATAAAATCACAACATATAAAAAAAGCCACATGACGACATGTTACACGGCAGCAGACCGTACGACACCTCCTGGTCGAGATAACACGGTGCTTTCAAGAACGCGGGACGCATAAATAGCAGTAGGAAATAAGCGAGCCATCAGCCAGGCAGTTTTGTCACGACAGTGCTATGGTGAATATCGCTCCAAAGATGGACTCTGCAATGAGCCAGAACGTCAGCAGAAAACTGAACACATGGATATTATACATTCGAAAACGATTTAAATAGTAATTCAATCCTTGAAAGCTTAAACACATTCATAACAATCTATTATCTGCATTTGTAGTATAACTGTATTGACAAGTTGCAACACTAAAAAAATTGTTGTAATTACAAAGAAACAAAATAAACTGTTAATAAAGAATCCTCAGTGGAATGAATAATGATAATACTATATCTATACTATAATAGAAAAATTATTATAAATTAAAACTGCAATTAACAAATGACGATAGTTATATTACTAAAATATAAGTATAATCAAAATTGCATAGTATAAGTGACAGTTTAATTTTTTGAACAAAATCAATTTTATGTAAAAGCAACCAAATATTTAACAACAATCATATGTATAACCATAATGTAAACATTTTTTAAAAAATTTTATTAATAAAAAAATGTAATTTAATTTGAGCTATCCTCGAATTAGCTATCCTTTACGAAACTTACTAACAAAAAACTGTCGCTCCGTTGTGTAGTATCGACTCGCGAGGGGCGATGTCACCTACCTACTTATTTTTTAAAGCTAGAACTTTTATTTAAAAGTTATAAAATAACTTTTTTGGTTAGACTTTTATAAATGAAAGTTTTTTTCAAACAGTTATAATTGAACTCATTTGTAAAAAAAAAACTGTTTCAATCTCTGTTTTAAATTATTGATTTTAATTCATTAATATAACGCGATACCGAATCTTTTTTTTTCGCTGCACTTATTGCTAAATAAAACTATACAATATATTTTGGCAATTGTTTGCAAATTTATCCCTGGCATGCACCAGGTATGTTGGTGTGTTAATTAATAATGGAAAATATAAATCATAAAAATTACACATTGTTTTGTCAAATATTACTATGACTTGTGCTAATGTTTTTTTTTTTTTTTAAGGAACACGTTCAAAGAACATATACAGTTCAAGAACTCGTCGACGAGTCAATCGGACCGTTTTACGTGAACTATGAAAAAACGCGTGCAGTTCTTGTGAGACAGGCCAAGCAGCTGTTGGAAACTGTTTACAAATCCGATATCGACCATTTTCACCGGCATTTTTGTATTCCTGCCAGTGAGATCCTAAAAAGGGTCGTGGAGACGTTCGACAACATTCAGGTAATCATACCGATATACTTCAATGATACGAAACGTGATTAATAAGTTATAGCTTTTTAGTTTAATTGTTGTAGCTCTGTAACAGAGTCTCTGTTATTAAACTCTAGCCTAGCGGCTTTCAAGTTACTTGAAATTGCTTTTATAACGGGGGATTCTTTATAACGCTCTACACTAGTTTACTCTTAAAATAATTTCAATTCTGTAGTGTTTCTTTTTGAAAACATTTTTATTTATGTTATAGTACAATATTAGACAATATTCGAATTTTTATCTTTTTTAATATTTGATAGAGCTTTATCAACTCTTTAAATTTTAATTGCAACATATATTTTTAATTGCATTTTTAAATTGAAAATTATTTACTAAAAATGTTAACTGGTCAAAAACCAGTTTTCAATAATTATTTTCAATGTTATTTTAGTTTAAAACTATTTATTATAAACCCGCTATCGACCAGTCAACATTTTCAGCAAGTTATTTTTAATTTCAAAAGTTAATAAATTAGATACGTTACTATTTAAGTTCCAAAAGTTTATAAAGCTCTAGAAAATACTAAAAAAGATAAAAATGTCAATAGTCTTATATTGTAATATAGCATATTATACAAAAATGTTTTCACAAAGAAAAACTACAAAATAACAATTATTTTCAGAGAACTGGTGTGGGGCGTTAGAAAAAATTCATCCGGTATTATACATATTTTAATTGTTACAACGCTTGTATATAATGTTCCAATGATTACAAAAACACGAGTTGTAATCTTAACGTATTTTGCATTCACAATGACCTTCCAATGCTTGATGTTCGTGTAGGATTATATTAAATATAGTATTAAGTGTCGATTGTACATGCGGTGGACACCACTGCAATGCAATGCAATTCTGGTGGCAGCAGTGTGCACACACCGTTTCTATATACCATTAACTTAAGTGATCTGTGAAGAACTCGAGGGTGCAGTTAGTGGCACACACAATGCAGTAGCTAAAGATCCACATCAGTGTACAAAAGGGTTGGCACGTGAAAAATCTACTGTCAGCTGGCAAATCGTGTTTTTCGAATTGGATTAATGGGAAACATGAGTCATACTTATTTCCCTGCCCTAGACTTTGACAAAGCGAGGTCCCCAGAATTTCCCACGTTGAAATTGATTAAAAATTATGTTTTCATAGAACCACGCACACGACAAATCGTTATTTGGGGTTCATCGATAATTTGATTAGAACGTCTGACAATAAACACATAACGTTGACATAGGTTTTACACAAGTATATTTTGAAAATATAATATTTCTTAGTGCTATCGATTTGTAGCGGGTAACGCATATCATGTTTTCTGAGTCATTTGCTTTAAATTTTGTTTGCATTGTATTTTTGTACTTATCAAACGGCTATTGCTTAGAATCTAAGCAATAGCAATAATCTAAGCCTTAGATTATTACGCCAACTCGGTCAGATATATAATATATACATACTTCTAAACGAATGTAAAATCATTATTTTTGTCAACCGACCGATAAGTAACCGGAAGTACTGGGGTCTACCGTTAAATTTACATTTTAAATATGTTTACTGATATGTATAACGTCATTTGGCCAGCTACCAAAATAACAATACATACAGATCGATGTAATATTGATTTTTGAGGTCTTCCGTATATGTTATCGTTGATAACACACGTGTTACCGGAATAAACGCACGCATGCACCAATTTCAGGCTTGGTTGGCGGGTAAAAAATGTTTAGAGCTTCCGGAGTACACCGTAAAGTGTCGGTAAACAAATAAAAACATCGAGGCAATTATCCGAGTTCACTCTTTTTTACGATCCGAGAGTTAATACAATTGTTTTTTTGAAACGGTGCCAATTGCATTAAGGGTTCGGTTTTATAAACCTAATTTCTGGCCAATGTCCCCCCCCCCATGCTCTCGGGAGGCAGCTGTATAGTGTAGAGACGTTTGCGCATATTTTAACAACAACGGTATACTGTCGTGTCTGCAGCATGTCGGATTGTCCCTGAGGGGGTTAAGCCCGTCGTCATTTTGCAATTTGTTACTCTTATCGAGTACCGCATAATACTATTCTCCGTGATTATGATACTCTATATAAGTGTATAATATATACATTATGTATACAATATACATACTATGAGTTAACATAATCATAAGCTCTTATTTGTTTTTCTTTATAACAATGTATCTAAGTTTGATTGTAATAGGTAACTCGGGTATATAGTCTGATCGTGTACGACTTTTTTTTTCTTTATCATTATTACTATTATTTGTTACTATATTATTACTTTTTAACTAACGCGCACTACGTTATAATATCATCTGAGCCTTATTGTTTGTACGTGATCGATGGCCGCTTCTTTACCATAGAGTCGAGAACAATATAATTATTATTACAACAGCTGAAAGAGCTGTGAAGCGTACAAAAGAAACACTGCTCTTTGGTCTCTATATTTACGTCCAAAACAGTCAAAAGTTATTAAAAATTATTCGTTTCGGGCAACACCGGTCGTGACCTAAGACTCATTTTTCCCTTCTTCCGTACCGTCACCAAAGTCTTAACTAATTTAAATGTCGGCTTAGATCAAACCCAAACTCGTTTTTGGGGGACAAACGACCATTGTGTCATTCGAGGCGAACGATAATACCATTATACTGCTATCCCATTCAGACTGCAGGCCAACACGGTCGTTCACGAAATAATACTACTACTATTGTAATTTCCAAATATTTGTCGAAGAAAAGCAGCCGTTCAGTTTTACGGCTATCGTTTCATTGTAGTGTCATGAACAACAAATGTCGGAAACGAGTATAAATTGACTAAAACTCGTATGGCGTTTACTTGTATTCAATTTGTGAGCAACCGTTCTAATAGAGTTTAATTAATTAATAACTTACAATTGAAAAAAATTACTGGTAAACCAATGAATTCAACTTTTTTATTGATACTTATTGGAAAACCTTTTGTGTTTTAATCCATTTAGAAACTGTATTAAAAATATCGTACATTTCTGTTTGAATGTTTGACATAGGTCTTGTAACATTTTTAATATTGAACTTGCAACTGAGAATTGATAATTGTAACGTAGAAACAGTCGATTGGAAAAAGAAAAATTATGGACAACCTCGGATGGAAAATAAAGTTGCTAAAAAAAAAAGCTGTAGTTATAGTAATATCAGTAATATAAAATAAAATGTGTTCTTGGATAAATAGTGCAAATAGTTAATTAGTCTACTCGTGCATTTATTGCAGCAGATTTAGTCAACGTAACAGCTATAAAATATCTCGGTCTTTGTTATCTAACCATAGGAAATCCGATCAGATTTACATGTCTTTATCATGATTAATCGTTCATATTTTTTATATAATGACTCCACAGTGTAGTATTTAAAACGGAACATTATTGTATAATAATCGTTCCGTTTGTTTTGTCAACGAAGAATTTTATTTCACCCAACACCAACGAATGAAAAGTGAAAACTTCAGCACAAATTATTTGAGGATTGTTGGCCGACAGGAAATAGTTTATTGCAAATAACATATTTGAAAGAACCTGACAAAAAAATGAAGAAAACAATTCTTTACTAGTAATCGTCAAAAGTCACCTTGCTAAATTTAGGTTACCCTATACCACTATCTCAGTTAAAATATTTACCCCGGTGCAATTAAACTGATATTCTCTCCTTGTAAAAAAAATTATTTTTGTACCAAATGTAAAATGATGATAAAGATAACTTTATCTAATGTAAAGACATAATTTAAATCCATCAAATTTTACAACAATAGCTCTTTTGGTCAATGTAATTACGGCTAAATAAACTTTTGGAATCAAAATTTATTTTTAATATACATTTTTATCGGCTGTTAACATAATTAGGACGAATAGAATGTTTTTTCGGGAAATAACGAGACGTGTTGTTTTGATTTTAACTTCAGTTACCATCTTTATTAAATACGCATGACAACAACATGGTAAACTATATGAAGTATCCAATGCAAACAGGAGCACTGAAAGGAATGAATTTTAAGGAGTCGTGGCGTATCTCGATTCTTGTAACAGCGCCTATACAAAATTTAATAATTGTGATTGTTTTTTTTTTTAATTTCTTAATACTGCTCTATGTTAGCTAAGTATATTGGTGGAATAGCATATTATGTCGTTATGGTCAGCGCGGTATGTACTGAAATCTTAAGTTTGTCTGGATTTGTAACGTACATTTTATGTTTTATTTAATTTTTATATTTTTCCGAAATCTGCTGACTGGGACAAAACATTATTATGTTAGTAATTAAATGTTATGTGTGTGTGATATTTTAGATATTTTCCTAAATTAGACCGAGCTGTCGGATGCTAATCGTCATGACTCACGAGTGTCTGTCGGCGTCCACAAATTACATGTCTCTTCGTATACTTCTTCCATCAAACCCACGGTCAGATGTGAGCAATGATACAAGGTATAACATATGTGTATCTTGATACATCCATAGATCACACTGCACAAAATCGTACCTTTCCCTTTTCCGCTGATTCACTTTGCCTAATAAGAAGATTTCACATCAGTAGATCGAGGATTTGAATGAATCATAAGAAAATTAATTTTCGGACAAAATAAACAAACTCGCGTACGATATTTTTGTCCAATAGTTTAAAACGTAAAATTCGTACACATAGAAATTGTATAAAAAATGAATAATATTTTTTTCTTTACAAAAAGCATAAAAGTTTCAACAGTACGTACACATATATACAGAAACCCGAAGTAAACATAGGTTTGAACATAATAGACTTAATTTTATACCTAAACCAAACACATTTTTTAAACAAATCATGACCAATCATAAAAATAATTAAAACATTAAAAATCAGATCAACAATTTTGTTCATTTATTTTGTCAGAAAATTAATTCCTATATAATTCATTAAAATCCACGACCTACTGATGTGACATCTTCTTGTTGGCAATTCGTCGACTAGTTTGAGTTATAGCTTTTTT